TCACAATTCCAAAATATTTTCCATATATTAATATATACAGTAAATAAAATGAATATGGGATACAGTCTCTGATGAAAGAGTTCGGAAGTTCAAGAGGTGAATACAAAATTTCTGGAATCCCTTGGAGTGGAACTAAGGAGACGGAGGTAGAAAAATGCCAGGAGCTTCCAGACTGTGTAGGTGTTAGGATGCAGAAGCCACTCAGCATCTGCCCACTGAGAAAGGTTTGCAACAAGCTGATGAGCAGGGTTATGCATTAACACATTTATTTTAGCCTAAATTTACATTACAATATTAAATACAGTAATATAGTTTTATTATATTTGTGCATATTGTTGTACATACGTGCATTATATATACATAATAAAAGTTTTGTTTTATATATGTGTGTATATAAATAAAATCTCTACCATTGTGTGTGTGTTTATGTGTGTGTTTGTGTTTGTCTCAGTCTCATAGTGACTTCAGAGTAGCAGAGTTACTGGGTACCCAGTAAAAGCTTATAACCATCTTTGGGAAAAATAATTTCAGTTTGCATCAAGTCATTTTTACTCCCCTTCCCCCAAATATTCTATTTAGATCATTTTGTTCCTGACTATTTTAAATTCTAAGGTTTTAATTTTGACTTTTTTTTGTACAACGACCTTTTGAAATAAATGGCATAATTCTTTGTAGTTTTATTAAATTTTATGTAAAGAGACCAGCAACTGCAGATGATTTGCACATGGTAATAGATTATATGCCATGGAAAAATGTTGCTTTTGTTGCTTCTCCAGTAGGCACAGTTCCAAGTATAGTTATTACTAAGCTACAATATCACACATTTTAAAAAAAAATTATCAAAAGAATTTCATGCTATTGACTCATTACTCCCATATTTATTATTATTATTGAAAATCAGTAGATCTAATTCTATTGGCTTCCTTCCTGATTGAAAACATTTGAACCTAGAAAGCACAGGTTTCTTAAGACATTTGTAACTATTCATTATGGATCTTAAACTTACAATCATGCTGCATTGTATGAGCAATGATTTAAAAAAAATTCTTTACAATACATATGATAATCGGGTTACCAATGCTATCAAGGTTTGAAGATGCTGAATGTTCATATAACTGGTATTTAAATTTTTGATGTGTTTTGCATTTGTTACTGAATATCAAGAATACATTTTTTTGCCCATATAGAGTAAGTTTAAAATGGGGTCTTTTGTAGAAGCCTCCAGCCTGTTTAGAATGATATAACCGATGCCCGAATGTTCACATATCAAACAAAATGCCAGCTTTCTGTAGAAAAAAGGTGTCAAAAAGTTTCTTTGTACCTTTAACGCATGCGATTATGTAGTACAAAATGCAGAGTTTGTAAAATTTCTTGAATATACAGGCTAAAAATGAATAATTCAAAACAAATCTTAAGTTCTACATTCTATTGTCCCTTTATAACGCAGGCAGAAGATAGCAGTGCGCTCCCAATAGAGCTGAATTTGCACAAGTTACACCTCTGACAATGCCAGATGGTCTATGGTCTACTTTTGAGAGCTGTCACATATGTAAAGATTTGAAAAAAGAAAGACAGCTGAATGAGAGCAGTGGATCGTTAAAGGGAGAGCGCGGGTCCCTAGGCATCACTAGTGTTTTAAGAGGCATTGTGTTGTCGTTCCCATATTAGCATGTTGCTTTTTTTTTTTAAAGCCATACACAACTTTTACACAATAAGAAAAAGAAATCTGTCTAAAGCCAAGTAGTTATGGTTTTTTTTTAATCAGATGTTTTTGTTCTTTATCCAAGAATAAAATCATGTTTCTGACTTACAGGTGAATTTCACTGTAAGATTCAAATGACATCCGTGAAAAATTATCAATGGAAGTGAAAATAAATGTCTGTTGAGATATCTAATATATCTAGGATTTATCCAGTTTTAATCTGACTTATATAGTGCATGCATCTGACAAAATCATAAAACTAAGAAAGTTTTAATGTGAAAAAATTAAAATGAAGAGATAATACTTGGTTACTAGATCATAATACAAACTATAGCAAAAATAATTAGGTGACAGTGAAACAAAAATTAAAGTACTATTCTTTATCTGCCAACCAAAATAGGTATCATATTGAAAACTGAAATGTAGGCAAATCATTAAGGATGTGTTAGAATATCACTCCAGCCATATCCAGTAATTTGCATATAGTCAGTTTTCATAGAAAAAGACAGGATCTGTCCATTTTAGAATTTGGTGGCAAGATATAGTTCTCTTTTACCATCTTTATTTTTAATTATTGAGAACATTTAACTATTACCAGTACATAGTGATTTTAAATTTATCTTAGAGTATGGAATATGACAGTACATGTTTGATTGATAAGAAGTCTCCCCAACATTGGTCAATGACATTTCAACTTAACTGAGCTCTCAGATTGCTTGAGTTATTTTCAGAGAAAAAGTGGCCCAACACATTCCATTTATTGGCGAGATTACTGGAAAGTGCTCTGAAAAGAACACCAAATTAGTTTTAACTCTCTTTAACTGTCTTCTTTGGCATCCCTTTAAATAAATATGTATAACTAGCTTTATGTTCAATAGCAGTCATTAGGATGTCATTCTCCTTGATACAAGGAGTTACAGGAGCAGCAAATTAATCTCTAGATCAAATGGTTACTCACCCATAAGAAATAGCTCTCCTTTTGCAGATGCCTGGACTGCCAATTTTAGTTAGAAGAAGGGTGTGTAGAGCTTTTACGTAGAGAAGTAACCTCTTCTTTTCATCAGAAGTTAGGAGAAAAAAATATTTTGATATATCTTACTATTAATTTGTTATATTCACAAATATTTAATTTTTGACAATTATTCTCCTTTGTTCTTTACTAAATAACTGAAAAATGGTAAGAGGGAGTCATATATTAATTTTATAAATCAGGTATTAATGTTAATAGACTTGATGTGAAACCATGCTTATTAAGTAAAAGAAATTTGTCTTTTTCTTGAAATCTGTACATTCATAAATAGAATATTTTGATATTGAACAAGGACAGAAGTAAACAATGTGTGCTAAAGCCCTACTCAAATGCAAACTGTCCTCTTTGTCAAAAATATATACCAAGTCTTAGCTAGTCCCTAGAACACAGATAATCAGTCCCCTTTAGACATGATCAATGCCATGTACCAGTATAACTGTTGTGACTTTCATACATTATGTTTTCTAAGTTGAAGAATTCTTAGTATTTAGACTTAATTTATATTTTTTAACTGTTCATAATCATAAGTTAAAAAGACTAATTATAACAGCAGTTTTAGAATCTGAAATTCCAGGAAATTATAAAAGTAAATTTTGACAATGAATGTTTTTACTGTTACTGTTGTTTTTAACTGAAGAAATGCTTTCATTGATAGCATTGCTTAAGAATATTAGTAAATAATTTCATTATTTAACAGATAGCTTTTTTGGGGGGGGAGATCAGAGCTCTAAGCTTCAATACCCAGAATCCATTTTGGCTAATTTAAATGAAAAATCTATTGTCAGCACAGAGATCCTCCCAAGAGTTACCCAGCTAAGGGTTGTGCCTGTACATTCAGAGGGGCTTCTCTAATGAAAACCTCACTGCTGCACTGTTGGCCCCATGGTCTGCTGGGAAGTGGGCATCGAACGCTGCACCCGCAGTATTTCTCTATACTGTCCAGCTTTCATCCCCGAATCCATTGTTCTTTTCCTTTTATTTCAAAAGATAATGGAGTAGTTAACCATTATCAGGGATAGCGAGATAATGTGTCTTTGGCACCAGAAAGAAGACCTGGTACATAGAAAATAATTCAATTTTTTAAAAAATGTCTTTATTGATTAAAGTATTACATATGTGTCCTTATCCTCCCATTACCTCCCCATCCCTGCCACTCATGCCCTCACCCCCCTGTTGTCTGTGTCCACTGGTTAGGCTTATATGCATGCATACACATCCTTTGGTTGATCTCTCACCCTTAACCCCACCCTCCCCTACTTTCCCTCTAAGGTTTGATGGTCTGATCAATGTTTCTCTGTCTCTGGATCCATTTTTGTTCATCAGTTTATGTTGTTCATTATATTTCATAAATGAGTGAGATCATGTGATATTTATCTTTCTCTGACTGGCTTATTTCACAATTCACCATAGCTAAGATTTGAAAACAGCCTAAGTGCCCATCAGCAGATGAGTGGATTAAAAAACTGTGGTACATCTATATGATGGAATACTACGCTGTGGTAAAAAAGAAGGAGTTCTTACCATTTGCAACAGCATGGATGGAACTGGAGAGCATTATGCTAAGTGAAATAAGCCAGTCAAGAATCCACTTTTTCTGAATGAGTGTCAAATTGTTTTTTCAGATTTCTAACTTCAATTTTCTTAAAAACAAAACATTTTTCCCTTCTGTTTTTATGCCCCTTTCATAAAGTCACTTTTGATGACTCCCTTTCTCATTTTCCCCTTTAGTAAGGATATTTTCTCTACATTTATTCTTTATTATTTCTGTTATACTAGAGGCCTGGTGCACGAAATTCGTGCACTCAGGGGTGAGGGGTGTCCCTCAGCCTGGCCTGCGCTCCCTGCGGGCCTAAGTCAGTCTGACATTCTTAGGGCTGTTGCGGAAGCTGGAGAGGCTCCTACCACCACCACTGCGCTCACCAGCCGTGAGCCTGGTTCTGGCTGAGTGGTGCTCCCCCTGTGGGAGCACACTGACCCACCAGGGGGCAGTTCCTGCATTGAACTTCTGCCCCCTGGTAGTCAGTGCACGTCATAGCAACCGGTTGTTCCGCTGTTCAGTTGATTTGCAGATTAGCCTTTTATTATATAGGATAGGATATTTTCCAATCATTATTATACCCATATGTATTAGTATTTTACTTTATTTTTGCTTTCATTTTTAGTATCATGGATAAAATTTAAAACAGTCTGTTACTGAGTGTATTTGGATTATTTAAAAATATTAATTTCTTTTTTAACGTGATAAACTTTTCCTACTTTTTAACTTAGCCCAACCTCAGCGCTTGCCTCAGCTTCAAACTTCAGCACAAGAACCAAGTGAGGAGGACATAGACAAGACAAAGAACTGCCACAAAAGTCTGAGCAACGGAAATGGAATTCACCATGGAGTCAAACATGTGTCTGTGGAGAATCGAAGACTTTCAGCACCTGTTTCCCAAAAAATGCATAGAAAAATTCAGTCCAGCTTGTCTGTAAATAGTGATATCAATAAGAAGAGTAAAGTGAATGCAGTCTTTTCCCAAAAGCCAGGCTCCTCACCTGAAGGTAAGTTTGAGATACATACATATTTTGCTTGACCATGTGTGAAATCATATTCACTAATAATTATTTTTTCAAGCAAATCTACAAGAAGAATCTCACTTATTTGTAAGACAAATGGGGATTTTGGTAAAATGCAGCCTCAGTCCCCAAAGGAGAACACAGGCTGTGAAAGGAAGCCTGGGCAGCTGACATCCTGCTTATTGTCTGCTAGAGGGAATGGTCATTACTTTAAATATAACTTCTAGACCAGTGGTTCCCAACATGGGGCCCATGCCCCACAGGGGGGCAATTTGACTTTTAAGGGGAGCAATTCAAGAATGAGCTATTAACTGAATTTTTTGCATTTCTTATGGTTCTAAGGCCTCATATACAGGATATAAATATATATTGTGACATATTTATGTATTTAAGTTCTCTATTATATGTTTTGAAACTTTATTTGCTATTTCTTCACATCACTTCATATTATGATATTTTTAAAACAATTGCTTAGTGATTTCTTCTTCAGTACTTCAGCTGTCCCTTTCGTTCTTTTCTTTTTCTCTTTCATGGATGCCATGTTCTTTGGAAGCTTGTTTAGACCAAGTTAATGGCCTGCTAGGCTTCCTCCACGTGAATTATATGTTACAGTGGGGGGAGGGGGGCGAGGGGGGCATCAGGATTTTAGAGATGCTTAGGTGGGGCATGGCCAAATAAGGTTGGGAGCCACTGTTCCGTACTTTTTTCATACCACATTTAAGAATATGAACACGGCGTTGTGGTGGCACACAAACGTATGTGATTATTTTTTCTGTTCCTGGCTTCATATGTTATTCTGTGGTTCAGAGGTAAGATCACCTGCTTGCAAATCAGTTCCTAGATATGCAAAACAAAGCCAGAAAAGGATTATTTGGTCATTTTATTTTCTTGCCAGGGAGAGGGCCAGGTGATCTCTGTTGCTTGAGTGACTAGCATCCTCCAGCCGCCCACCCCATTCCAGGCTCACTGTGGTCTGGCCTTTACCTCCTCTCAGGAACTAGTTATTACCTCCTTCAACTGGGCCTCATCCTGCACTTGGTCAGATTAAAGTCGGGTTAAATATGATGAACCTGAGAAACCTTTTCTTTATTATAACATAAACCCATGTGACGACATTGGGTTTTAAACGTACAGACTTTTTTTTTTTTAAATAAAAATGGCTTGCTGTATTATAGTAATAAAGGAATAGTCGTCTCCCACATTGAAGGTTCCAGATTTCTCCTGGCATATCTGAGTTATTCCATTCTTCCTCTTTCCCACTTTTAGCTGTTCTTGAGCTTCAAAAAATCTCAAATATTCCACCTGACACGTATATATTTTTGTTATTCCCTTTACATTTCTATTTTAATTGCCAGGAAATCTTAAATAAGGGAAATTCTGTGGATGTCTCTGTGAAATTGGCTGTGCTTATTTATAGAGATAAATTGAGTTGTAAATAGAAAATTGTACAGAGAGTTAACCAGTAATGTATGGGAGAAAGGATATTACATTTTGGTTACAGGTGTCTCAAATTCAACTGAGATAAAGTGTTAGGTTGATCAAATAATATGATAATAAAGGGTCTGCATGGTTCCAGGTCAGTGACACTACTTTCCAAACTAATTAGATTGAAGGGAACATGATTGACACTTTAAAATTAGTTTGACATGTTAGCTACATGGTCATCTCTGAAGCATAGTTAGGCTGTTAACTAAACTGGATCTCCAAGGAGTTGGAAAGGCAATGCAATTTTCTTGAGAAGATCTTCATTTTTAGGTGATTGGGTGAAATAATTGGATGCAATTGAAATCTACTTGTTTTTTTTGCATTTGAATTTGCTTATTATGTCCCAAACCTCTTATTTTCCATTTGCTATTTACTTATTATAAAGAATAGTAATATTTGCATATCAATCCCACTTGAAATTGCTTATGGCATTTTAATAAAAGTTTTTATTATTTGCTTACTTTTAATATCATGTGTGAATCTATTTCTGATGTAAGAATGCAGCTTCATAAGCAACATATGAAGAAAGAGGAAAATCAATATATATAAATGATATATAGTTCTATAAACCCTCTTCCTTTTTCCATCCTTGTTTCTCCCTCTTACATATACACTCATGCTTATGGTTCACCACAAATATATGGATGGTGAGTCCCTCGTAATCCTGACATTTTCACAAGTTCTGTCCCAGACGGGGCTTGGGGGCATGAGAAGTATGAAGCACAAATGAAGATGACTAAATATATTGTACAGTGTCCTACTCATAACTTTGCTGTTAAGCTATAGCATTTAGCCAGTTGTAGGTTTATTTTATATTGATTGCTTGAATCTAGATGAAAATGCCATTGTCCAGGTACATCTTTACTCAGAGTTTGGTGTTTTCATTTTCTTTGCTACTATTTAAAGTTGTGACCTGAAATTGTGTTGTTTTTTTCTGATTTTTAGTTTTAAATTTAAGTCTGTTTCCTTGGCAGTTCACTGTAGTTAAACAAACAAGCATAAGACTGGTAGATGGCAAATTAAAAGGAAAACAGCCTCAGCTCTTCTGCCAGCTAGCTAGGGGACTTGGGTTTCCTGGGGGATGCTTTTTCTATAAAATGGTGTGAAAGGTGTGGATTAGGAATTCCCAAAGTAAGTTTCAGTTCCAAGATTCTATGATTCAGTTCTTTCAGCAACGCTGCCTCATGAACTCTACACACAGGTCTCTTGCTGTATAGAACGTTTGGGGTCCTTGGTTGAGAAGAAATCTCATACCTTGGAATAGAATAGGGCAATACCAGGAAGGGTTTTGATGAACAGACATAGCATCTGGATTCCAGGACAGCAAGTCCTGAACGGGCTCCAGAGGTGTGGACACATGGAACAGACTTACAGTCTCAGAGAGGAGGGGGTTGGGGGTGGGGGTCGGGAAGAGATTAGACAAAAAGAACATATATGTATAGCCCATGGACACAGACATTAATGTGGTGAAGGTCTAAGGTGGGGTGGGGTGGGGGCAGGTTGGAGGGGGGCAGAGGGGGAGAATGGGAGACACCTGTAATATTGTCAATAAAATACAATAACAATGGGGAGATTTAATAGCTAAAATTTTCTCAGTTCTATGTTTTTCTTTTTTTACGTTTTTCTTTAGTCTTCATCACTTATGTCTCTTCTTCTTACAGTAAAATGAGCAAATGAGTAGTAAAATAATATTAACTGGGGACTTCAAAATTAGCTACCCATGCCCAGTTTGACCATGTGTGTTTTTTTCCGAATAAATGGTGTTCCTGGTTGCGACTTTGTATGTATTGCACATAAATACTATTGACAAGTAAAGGGGCATTTTGTGGTTCCGTTGATGGAATTTACATATTTAATCATTTCACAGTGTTTTAGTAAGAGCACTAAACTTGCTGATCAAGTTTGGAAAAGACCGCTAAGATATGGCGGTCCATTGCTTATACAAAGGTAAGGATTGACCCAGCCCCATGATTGAGATAGTGGGTTGGTGACATGTGTTAATCTGTCTTTCGTTTCTGTTCTTTTCTTTTTTATTATTATTATTAGTTAAGGTATTACAAATGTGTCCTCATCCCCCCCATTAACCCCCAACCTCCCCCACACACACACACACTCATGCTCCCATCCCCCTGTTGTCCATGTCCAATCTGTCTTTCACTGTGGGTACACTAAGGCTTGAGTACACATAGACTGACATGTGCTCCATCAGATTCTCCTTTTTAAGTTGTCTTGATTTATGTAGTTAGTTACTTAGATTCATTCTGTGTACCAGGTATTGTTCTACCTGCTTTGCTCACATGAAGTCATTTAATCCTCCCAACAGCACTGTAATTCTGTGAACAATATGTAATTAGCAAATTGTGAATAAGGAAACTGAGGCACAGAGAGGTTAAGTGAAGCCACCAAAGTCAATTGGTGTGTGATAGAATTGAGATGTAAACCCAGACAATTCTGGCTCCACACCTATGCTACTGACTACTCATATTTTTGCTTATAAAATCCTCAGAGAAAGCGAGTTTACTGGCTATTCCACCGCCACATCAGAAACTGGTGTTACAACTGTGCTTGAGACAGGGGTCTTCTTATTACTATATAGATTTGTTTTGAAGCACTACCTACTAAATTTTTAAAACAATTCTCACACCTATACCTGGTTTTTGTTTTCTTCCCTATAAGACTCTAAATTATTGAAAGACTGGACTGTGTATGAGTTTTTTTTTGTTGTTGTTAATTTACAGCAATGCCCATTACATTAGATTCAAAGAGTTTCCCAGGAGTTAGTAAGTGATAAAATTTTTATTCCAAATCACTTTATCCTACTCCTTTGTGAAACTAGCACTGAAAAATAGAATGTGTGCACATGTTCATTTAAAAAAACGTTATTTTAAAAAAGTACTTCATATATAGTAGAAAAAAAAGTACCATGTGGGAAAATACACATTTTATTTAAAGGTTTTTTTTAATTAGTAGATTTCTTCTTGTTTTGTTTAATTAAATATTTTCAAAATACTTTACTTTTCTGATTGTATCACCCAGATGTAGTTTTAAGATTAAATGTTTTAAGATTCTTGACCTTTGAAATAATTAATAGTATATGACATTGAAATGACCAAGGGTTTTCATTAGATTCTAAGCTACTTATCATAGGAATGACAAATCCTAACACATTTTAGGTGTGTCCCAGCTATAGCTATATAGTTTCATAAAAATTCAATTTCAACAAAGATATTTTTAGAAGAGATTTTATGCTTTTCAGGAATCTTGGATAATAGACCCTTCATGTTGACAGATTTAGTATTTATAAAGAAATGCATAGCCAATCCCAGCAGCTCATTGCCCACAGATGCTGAACAAGAGAATCAGGAATATCGTATACATAGCAATACCGAATCACACAGAGGCAGTATGCCCTAGTGATTAGAGTACAGGCTCTGGAACCAGGCTGCTAGGGTGCAGAAATTGGCTTTACTACTGACTGGTGATATGTCCTAGGGTAGGTT